TAGTGTATTAGAAACAGACAAGGGATTTAGGCTTCAGCCAGCTCACATGTTTAACTGAAAAACAGGCGAAAAGAATGAAAAATAAAATCTATAAAAAAAATACCAGCTTGAAGAATATTGGTTACTCTTTCAAATTTTGAGAGTTCACGACACGCTAAACGAGTCTTGTGATTATTTCTTAGCACATTCTTGTCATCATCTAATGATCAAGTCGGATCATCTCTCGCGAATTTCGCTAGGAGCGTGTCGTGTCAACAACAAGTTTTGCGGCATTTGATATTTCGTCACGACAGGCTCTGACGACCTCAGTCAGTTCCCTGGATGTTGATGAAACGGCCATCATTTAGAAATTCCTGCTAACTTTTACAAAGGCTACATTGCCATCATGAGCAACGCTTTATCGGAGGCGGACCGGGACTATGGATTGAATACTACATGTATAGCGGGGTCAGCTAATGTAGGTCAGGTAATAGAATGTTGAGGTAATCGCAAGTCAAGCGAACCGAATGTTGAGGTAATCGCAAGTTAAGCGAACCGAATGTCAAAACATTTGGACGTGAAAATAACCGAATCTTATAAAAATTGAATGTCAAGATAATGTCTAAATAATGACACAATTGTAACATAATGAAACAATGACAAAATAATATTGTAGCAATTACTTAGTACACAATAATAATAATTAAGAAAAAAAGTTGAAATAATGAAACAATGGCATTACGATGCTGCAGTAAAAACACAATAATGGAATAAGCGCAAAATAATGTTTAAACAAGTCATTGTCAATGACACGTCCCCGTTCCGTTCATATTTGAGTGACATGTACATTCAAAGCAGATCATGACCGAAATGCACCTGCATATGTACAACACATTGTTCTAAATCTGAACAAAATCCATCCATGCATGACTGAGATCAGGTTCCAGAATTGTGAAAATATGTGATGTTGATGCATTTTCGGCCTTAAAATGGCCATCATTCAGCTATTGTTAAGCGGGTCATGAAACAAATGCACATACATATTTGTGACATGATGTACCGTGTGTGTGAAGTTTGAACTTGATCAATCCAGACATGTCTCGGATACGGATCCAGAACTGAATTTTTTAAAACAAAATGGCCGCCAGTCGGCCATTTCGAACTTGATCCGGAAAAAAAAAATAACGTGCATCAAGGTCCTATTATGTTTAATGTATGTACCAAATTTGAACGAAATCTGTCCATGCATAACTGAGATCCGGGTCCGGAATGGTGAAAATGTGATTTTGATGCATTTTCGGCCTTAAAATGGCCGCTATTCGGCTATCGTTAATCGGATCATGAAAAAAATGCAAGTGCATATGTCCCATATAATGTGTGATGTATGAGTGAAGTTTGAACTTAATCTGTCCATGCATGTTCGAGATACTGGTGATCACAGAAGCACGCACAAACGCACACAGGGCAAAACATAAGTCCCCGTTTTCGGACTACGTCCGAACGGGGGACTAATAAAGACCAAATAACCGAATAATGACCAAATAATAACTAAACAAGTTTCCAAATAAAGATCAAACGACTAAACAATGTTCTAAGAATGACGCCAAGCTAATTTTGGCGGTATTCTCACCCCATAGTTACCCAGCATATAAATGTACATTATTACTGTAAAAATCAAAGACAATAAAACTAATTCTAAAAAAACTAATTTAATTTTTTCTAGAATCAGTGTGAGAAAACTGTTACGGAAACAACCACATCTGAAATGTGCACTTCGCTGAAGTATAAACCTTCTACTTCAAAGTCTACTGAGGTATCGCTGAATACCAAAGAATCCTGTGCATCTGTCGTCAGTGCGAAGTTAAAAGATAAAAAGAAAGTGGCCAAATTGAAGGTAATATTTACTGATTTTGTTGTGTATTCACTGAATTTTGATGAGTTTAATGTAAAATATAGGAAAAAAGGTATATTCGCTGGATTTTATTTTCACTCAATCATTCCCTCAGCGTAAATTAATTCCAAGCGAAAATAAAGTATTTTACAGTAGTATATACAGGATCTTTTGAATCTGACCATGGAGGTACCTCCGTCATTTACACAAGTGCATGCACTACAAATGAAGAAAATATGGTATGAGTAGTTCAGTGAAAAGAGTTCATTGAGGTCCCCTAACCTGAACCCCCTATCCCTAATACTCAAGCTTCCCAATGTGATTCTATATGACCTTTCCTAGAAAGGGCAGATACAGTTGAAAGTGGGAGGCACATGGGAGGGACAGGGTTGGGATTGTAGTTAAGGATGACTGTTTGGGCAACATTTCATGTACCCAACTGTGCAGGGTTCTCCCCAGGAATTTATAGAGTAGGGATTCCTCACTGTTAATTTAGGATAAACAATAGAACCAATTTAGCTTATGATGAATACAAGTCATTAACACATTCAATTATGCAAATTGACAGAATGTATGTAATTTTTTGTGTTGCATCCTACTGATCCATCATTCAACCTTATTCAGAATGTTTGGCTGGCACCACTTGGCATTCTGATTGATTATAATAATGCAGTTTCAGGTCCATCTGTGTATTAAACAAACATGATGAATATTATTCACATCAAGAGTTTGTGTGCGACCAAAAGTGTTTCCTTAGGATAAAAAGAATTTCATAACTGATATTTTATACACAAATATGATTACAACTGGGTAATAATAAACATTTGTAACAACTTGAAAACAAGTAAGTTATTGAAATGGCGTGACTGGTTTACACTAGTGATAGTTTGCTACTAAACTAATTTTGCCGTTTTTAATGAAACTAGTTTCATACTTTAATTTACCAATGAAATTAAAGTCAATGCATTATTATTTCATTAAAATCAAAGTACTTATTACAAATTACTGTCATGGCTTTGTGTTTAGGCCGTAATGGATTAAAATGGCAATCAAAAAAAAAATTACCAAAAGATGTTCCTGGCCAATGTTATCAGCACTTGCCCAAAAAATATGACCTGTTCTTCAAAAGATCGCCAAGGTTGGGTTATCAAACAAACGTGGTAGATACTTCACAAAATTGAACAAATGTGCTATTTCTTTTGTTTTGTAAACATTGTAATTATTTTTGACAGGAAAAGATGTCTCCAGCAGCAGTGAAAGATCTTTTGTCCAAATCTGGTAAATTAGCAGAACTACAAAGTCGTTTGGCTAAAGTGAAGGAGCAGGCAGACAAGACCAAGAAGTTGACAACAAAATTACCTCAGTCTCCGAAAGTATCACAATCCCAGAAGTTATCACAACCCCCTAAAGCAGCACAACCAGAGTTGTCGGCAGCAGAGGCAAGGTGTGTATTAACTGAAAGGGTGGTTCAGCTTTGATGGATTGGGTAAACTAAAAGAAATATTTTGTAATTCAGGGATTGGACAAACTTACTCACTTACTCAATTATACATGTATATCCCCCTTAGTTGCATCCTCGCAGTGTTCATTTTAACTGTCAACTTGGTCTTTTGTTTCTATGTACTATTGTAGACAAGTAATTGCCATATTGCGTTCAATATGTCGATCGGATACTTTTTACTGCCCAGCATTTCCGAACTTGTGTAGATTTGGAGTTTTTAGGTTGCCTGTCTATAGGACTGGTTTGTGAATAGAACTGCCCATTCCAATTACAAATTAATTACATCATATTTGAAATAAAATTTTAAGTCTTTGCTCCTCATTATTTCTTGAATTTAGAATGCAATATTCTGGAAATTAGTAATAAAGGACCATCCTAATTTGTTCAGTTAGTGTAGTCTTGTTATCTTTATTCATCTGTTCATGGGACAGGCAATTTGTACATCTATCTGTCCCAGCTGAAATCTGCTTTTCTAGATGGACAGGCCTTAATTTCAAGATCTTAATTACTCTAAAATACTTTATTTTAGCTGGAATTAATTTTCGCTGAAAAGACTTTTTGGGTGTTTTGTATGGAATTTATTTTCACTGATTTTTGACAAGTTGAATGTAAAAAATAGGAAAAAGGTATATTAGTTGGATTTTATTTTCGCTGAATCATTCTTTCAGTAAAAATAGCGAAAATTAATTCCAAGCAAAAATTAATTATTTTACAGTATTGAAAAAGTTGACAGCTATGTTCTGGGAGTTGGCTTTGGATAGATGTAAAATGTTTGACCAATACATTCAATTACATGATATTTATGACAGACTAGGGCCTTTTGTGTATATGCAAAGAAATAGTTGCATTATTGTGGGGGTGGCATTTGTTTTCGCTGAATTATTTGAATTATTAATTTGATCATCACAACTCGTAGTTGTATTGAAACACCCACACTTATAATCAGCATCTTGTACATGACGGTGATGCCATTATTCAAAATATGATAATGCCTTGTGTAATGATGTGCATCAACATTTTGACTAAAACCCATGCTCAGAATGGCAGACAATAACTTCACCTATTTTTGCCGCATTTTCCAAGTCACTTTCGCAGAAAACATGTGTTGTGGAATTTGTTGACTCAGTGGTTTGGATGTTATTATCACCAAATTCAAAAACTTCTAAGTGTATTGCTGTATTTAAAATGAGAAGTAGCTGTGTGCCAAATCTGTAGCAGGTTTCATGAACTCCAATAATTTTTCATAATTTAATTTAATGTTTTTTCTCCTTCCTCCAGTGATGAAATGCCGGCCTATCAAAAGTACCACTCCTTAGCAACACCAGTGCCGCCATCTTTGAATCTGCCTTACAAGTACAAGATACTGTCAGAGATGTTTAGGAGTGTTGATACTATTGTTGGCATCTTACAGAATAGGACGGAAACGTGTACATTTACAAAACTTAAAGAAGCAGTCCAGGAAATGATAAGAAGGTATGTACCGAGGGTACCACCATTGTGAAGCAAATGATCCGTAGTAAAAATGTTGGAGGTTGTGGTAAGGAAGTGAAAATGTGTGTAAATGTTCTGCACTCATTGTAAATTGATATGAATTTGAATAATTAACACCCCTTTCATAGTAAAATAGTCTCCATATTCAAGAATTTTCTCGGAACACTGAATAAATCACAATGATGGAATAGTGTTAATTACCTAGGTATGATTTGTAGGTTGATGAAAACTAAAATAAT